AAAAGGAAACAAACAATCCAAAAGGATCCCTGTGACTACAAGGGTTACACACACACTATTTGAAAAGGACACTTGAATTTCTCTAGTAATAAAGAAAGACTCTTCCGAGAGGGCCTCTTGTCCAGGCTAAGGATGCGACAGTTGCGAGCAGAGACGCGAGCACCTGACTTCCCATGTAGCACGTCTTGGCTGATTGTTGCTATCAGACTTCTCCACGCAAAAGCCAATGTGTCAAATTTCCGGAAACGCCCCAGAGAGCCAAACATCTTTCTTATTCTTTCTTTCTCTGCTCACGCGAGTCGTACACGGATGCAAGGTATATCACGAAAGCCAGCCGATAGGCTAGGCTGGAGCCTAGGGGAGCGAACGAAGTGAGAAAAGGGGGTGTGGGGGGGGTTGGTCGCCAGAGGGGCAGGTTCGAAGAGGCTGACCCAGAGCCTGGTGGGGCTTTTGGGGTGTTGTGATGCAAGTGATGTAATTGACGGCGAGTAGTGCATCATTAGCATCATGAGGGCTCAGGAGACAATGTAAGCCATCTTCTACCAGGAAAGCGGGGACAACCGCGAAAAGTGGTTGGGACTCCTCCAGAAAAGGGAGATGTTCGTTTTGGTGGCTATTGAACTAGTGTTCGATTAGGCGTGGCTCGAGGTCAAAAATGGGCTGGTTGGTGGTATCAACTCACTTGAAACATAGACCAACACACCATACCAAGCCTTCCCGGACTACAGGGGTGCCGTTTTTCACCTCCACAACACCTCGACATCAAGACAAAAAAGGGCACCCCCGTCTATTTCTACTCTTGCTCAATGACGGCAATAGCAACTTCGCCACTTCCGGCTACTCTTTGTCCACTTTCCTTTATTTCGTATGTATATATATATATATGTATATATATATATATTTGTATGTATGTATGTATTTTCACGAAAGCCTGCCGATAGCCTCGCCCATAGGCCCCCCACAACCATCTTTGCTCACTGGCTAGCAACGCAGTAGGCAAACGCATATAGGACCCCCCAAACCTATTACTTTACCTTCTGTTTCCACCCCCTATCGGGTCATAGCCTCGCCCATGGCCCCCCCCCGCAGCCATCTTTGCTCACTGATTAGCAACACGCCGCAGGCAAGCGGGCCTGACTTCCTTACGGGCGCCGGATTTTCACCTCCAAAACGACCCTGAACCAGGACAAAAAAACCACCCTCTCCAAACTTATGTATTCTACTTTCTGTTTCTACCCCCTATCAGGGTGGCTGCGATGCCAACTTCACCCCATAAAAGTACCCTTTGCCGAATGTTAGCCAATCACTTCATATTGCGCGCTCAAGTGGCTGCAATAT